GGTTCCTGCCAGCCCTGCATTTCTGTGTCTTTTTTTCTGCTTGTACAAATTGATTTCAGTGGTCTATAGCCCTGATATGCAGCAGTGGGTATAGTAAAACAGAAGCATAGAGAAATTAAACCAATCCCTTCTTTTAGATTATAAACCAAGAAGCCTAAAATTAATTACACTGAAAATGCAAATAGAGGAAGGATCTGTGTCAGACAGTAAGAAAACTCTCACTGACTACTATTGCTCTTGGATCGAACCCAAAGAGAAGAGCTTGTAATATTTTCCTTGAGAATTGCTAATGAATGTGTTGAATAAAATACAAAATTACAAAGGAACTAAACTTGTCCATAAGTCTTCATCCAAACCTACTTGGGTGCTGTTCTTTGAGTTTTAGTTTACTCCTCTAGATGCATCTATTGTCTTTTGCCCATAAAAAATGACTCAGTGTGTCCTCAACTTTCATTTACAAAAGAAGACTTGCTGAAAAGGATAGGTTTGGCAAAAAAATCTTCTGCCTATAATGCCTTCATTTCTTCTTACCACTGACCTATATTGTATTGTGTCATATAACCAATCTGGTGTCTTGTGTAATTTGTTTTGTTTAACAACAGTGTATTGTCTTCTTTTTCTATCATTGTTGATCCAAGATTTAGCAAATTACTGTCTAAACAGCAATAACAGCTAAACAGCTGCAGACATAAGACATTTCAGAATGATGTGTGGAGTAGCAATATTCTCATATAGTTGCTCAGAAAAATAGATGCCTTGCTAATACCTATGAAAGAGTTAAATTTTAACTCTGTACTTACAGCTAAATGATCAAAATATATATTTAACAAATATGATTCTCTGCTTGTTGTGGTTACATGTTGAAAATACACTGCTGAATATATGTATGTTCATGTACAGTAAACTACAGCAATTATGGATAATGTAATAATTTCCACAGCAGACCATACTAAATTTAGTGCTAACTTAGCAGTCTAAAATGTAGTCTGAGATGACATCTAAATTAGGGGTAAAATATAGGCTGCTCCATGACTCCAACAATGGATAAATAAGCTCCTCTCACCCTATCTGCCAGAAATCACTCGTTAAGGAAGCAATGATCCAGTATCTGTCTCTTTGAGCAGCAACTGCCCTCATTGTTGGGTATTAGAGCACTTTTAAAATAGAGCCCTAAGTTAGAATGCAAATGAACTGGCAGACCACAGGCAAGACTTTTCTTATGGCCTAGCAGGTTGCAAGAAGCGACCTTCAGCACCTTCACCAAAGACAAAAGCCTTCATTTTAATTATCACTGGTGGTCATCTCCTATTAGATTTATTAGATCAGGCAGTTATCAGATCAGACAGAGTAATATTCATGTTACTCATGAAAACATTCATTCTATGTTTTGTGAATTAAGTCAGAACTGTCTTCTTTGACACCAAAGCAGATACTCCTAACAGTGAAAAGGGTGAATTTAGGGGTTTCAATAAAAGCCTAACCAGTTCTTTTCCCCTCAAAATAAAGCCTTGGCAGAATTATTCTGGTCTATGTGACAGAAAACTTTAAGAAGTCATAGAATCATAGAATAGTTAGGGTTGGAAAGGACCTTAAGATCATCTAGTTCCAACTTCCCTGCTGTGGGCAGGGACAACTTACGCTAAATCATATCACCCAAGTCAAACAAGAATTTTTCATCTGAGACACAGATGATGGGCATATACAGCCCATAACAAGATGCCAAGGGTGTTCACTGGAAAAAGAAAATTCTAGCTTCAAAGTTGGGTCAAATCCAAATTTGCTGTTATTTATAAGTATTTCTTCTTTTCATGAACATTTATAGAAAGACTTGTCTCTGTTTTGTTGCAGAACAAGAATATTTTTGAAATCTCAGAAAATTCCATAAAATGAGATTATTGTTCTCCATTCAGGTATCACAGTAATCATTACTTAAATATTTTTAGCTGCCTAACAAAGACTTGCTTAGAACTGATTCCAAGTGATGACATGCTAATGGAAAGCTTTGTGTACAGCAGACACATTATTTGAGCACAGAGGTTCCACTCCCTCCCTCCCTCCCTCATCAGCATTTTCTGATAGGCTCTACTGATCCCACGACTTTAGAGAACTGCTGAGGTAATGGTTACACTGAAGTTCAAGGGAAGTTTTGGAACATCCTTTAGTTAAAAAACCTGAAGCAAACCCCCCCTTAATACTTAGCAGGACAACTTAGCTTGCAAAAAGAATCTGATTTTCAGTCAGTTCCTCTTTCTGAGCCCTACTTATTTTAGAGCTGCATTGAAACAGAAGAGTAATCTCTTGAGTCAGTATGGTTTCCATTTAACATTATCCCATGAGTTGAGATAATTTCATCACTACTATAGCTCTCTAGTGGGTGAAAGAAAGATGTTTTCCTCTATTCCTGAAGGTAATCAGGGGTATAATGGGAACAAGGAGGGGGCAAAGGGAAGATAAAGACAGGATGTTCTTTGGTTTTACAAAACTCATCAAGGCAAGCACAGTGTGAAAACTCATTGACAGGTTGCAGATACAGTGGGATGATAAAACGGCTTACCTTCTACTGTGGGCACATGTGGAATATATTGAGCTTAAACATAAAACGTAAGCAACCTCTCTCTGGCTAATCTCTGAGTAAATCTACAGAACTGTAGGTCACAGCTGCTATGTTTCCTGATAGAAATATATTTCTGCTTGTTTATAAGCCATTCTACATGTGTTCAAAGGTGTCTGAACAAAAATTTTCCTGGGTCTGATTTTGCATTCTCGTTTACCCTCATCCTGAAGAAAAGGAAAACATATCACTATGTATAATTTCTATTACATCTCATATTTCTAATATTTTGATTTATAGATGAAGAATAGATTAAAAATCAAACCAAACCAAAAAACAAGATGAAGAAAGAAATCCTTCAAGACAACAGCATACATGTTAAAACGTGGGTCCTAGATTTGACTTCAGCTGATGGGTAAAGAGGAGTCAATATTGATATGCATTTTTAGAGAGCACACTAGGAACTAGAACAGTGGTTCCCAAACTTTTTTGGATTGCTCTCAAGCCTCAGAATTTCTCGTGGACCACCAGACATCATTATCATCAAACTTTTAATTGAAAACACTATTAAAAACAGTGTTTAATATGGCTCTGTGGATTAGCTGTGAACCCTTCACCGTGGCCTCCTGGACCACCAGTGTTCCGCGGACCACGGTTTGGGAACCACTGAACCAGACTACACACATCGTACACCCCAACAAAACACTTCTGTGTCTGAAAGCAAAGTCAGTCCTTCTATTGCATGATGTGCTTAAATAATACACAAGTCAGTTCAACTTTCTTGTTACCTGAAGAACACAGCACCCTTTTGTTTTTCTCTCACCTTAAGTTTCGGTTTTTATTGCTTTGGAGAAACAAGCATATGGTGCCAAAAGACAGTTTATGATTGTTTCTTGTAGGATCTTTCTCATATCCGGCAGGGGTGTAACCTTTCAGGAAGCTATCTATGAAAATAAGAAACATAAACCATAAATATATATATATTAAAAAAAGACCATAACCCCCCCACACTGTGTGCTGGTCATTCCAGAGTGGTTATATTATCTGTGAATCCTAAAATAAAAAATTAGAAATAGCTTCTGAGTTGTTTTGGTTTGTGCGTTTTTCCCTCCTCTGGAAAATTTGTTATTTTCCTTCCCAAATCCATTAATGATGTTAAAGCTCTGTGTGTGGTCATTAAGGCATTTCAGCAATTTTCTCAAATTCTTTACAGTTATTCTTTGGCTCCACTATTACAAGATTGTCTGTTTCTCACCAGATAAACACACAGAAGAAAATGATGATAGCGCTGAGAAGGGAACTTTTAGTGAAATGGTATAAATAGGAACAGCAAAACACCAAAGGCCATGATCCAGCCCTGTGTTAAGTCAGTGACAGAGTGTAGCCTCACATGAGAGCAAGAGTGGACTACAGCATCCCTTTCAATTGCTCAGCCTCTGCATCTCCTTGCTTTTGTGCACCCTGCAGGCAACTCAGCCAACCAGTGTCTAGTAAAGAAAGGGGGCTTATTTACCTTCCTTCATATACTCAGTATCAACAACTATAAAATGGAACTGGGAATGAGTCAGGAAACTTGGCAAGTAGTGGATTATAGCAAAAAAAAAAAAAAATTCCTAAAAAGACTAATTTTTTTTTTTTTTCTAAGACTCTGCTTCCGTGAGAGTATCTCACTTGCTTTGGACAGGAAATAATGCTGCCACAGGACTTCCATAATTCTTGCATGTTCAATAGCCAAGGTAATGCAGAGGTTTGAGTTAGAGTGGGCGTGGAGAAGGGTCATTACAGCAAAACTAATATGCAAGAGAAGTCAGCAAGGGAAAACAGTAGCCTCTACTGTAGCTTGAAAGAAAACAAAACCTACCCAGCTGTTTTCTTTATAGGCATGTCTTGCAATACTTTTCACACAGCATCACTAATGGATGTTACTGGAGCATTTATAAAGGTGGATTAATAATCTTTCCCTCTGTCCTAGCCCTCTTGCACATTTTAAAGGGTCTGGTATTTTTTAATGTTGTCTGACTGCTTTTCTTTTTCCATGCAGTGCAGTTAGGGGTACCTCCTGCTTTCCAGTGAGCATTGCCACCAGTGACTCACTTATTATGCATCTGAAATACTTAAGGTTCAGCTTGCAAACCTGACTAGACAGTGTAAAAACAAATCATGTTGCTTCACCTCACCACTGTCCAGACTCATTGCCAAATTCCCCTCTGGCAAAGGGGGTTAGGTGGGACCATCAGGTGGCTTGTGCTTGCCTGTGGTAATATGCTCCAGTTGCACCAAGCATTTTAAATATGTATGTAATTCAGTAAGAATGAAAAATACGCACTCAGTAGTAATGCCCTCTTCACATTGCTGCCTGACACCATTGCTGTAGATAACGTGTGTATTGATTTTAGTAAGTGCGTGCTGCTTTTCTGCCAACCCATCAGCTTTTGGCTTCTCTCCACAGGAAGCAGGGAAGCTGCGTTCACCTATGCCATTACTGCTGCTGGCGTTGCACATGCTGTCACGGCCGCCTGCAGCCAGGGCAACCTCAGCAATTGTGGCTGTGACCGAGAGAAACAGGGCTACTACAACCAAGAGGAGGGCTGGAAGTGGGGAGGCTGCTCTGCGGATATCAGATATGGCATTGAGTTCTCCCGGAGGTTTGTTGATGCCCGAGAAATCAAAAAGAATGCACGGAGGCTGATGAACTTGCACAACAATGAGGCTGGAAGAAAGGTATTCCAGAAAGGAGAAGGGATGGGGAAACGTGCGCTGGAGGATGGGGGGAGGCTGGCTTGGTGGCAGGAGGCATTCCCTGAGAACTTACCCCTCTCTGCTGTTATCCCATACCCACATCAAGTTACCTGAAGGCATCTAATGTTTACATTCTGCTGCTGGCTTTTTTCTTCCGAGCTGGCCATGTATTATAGATGCTGTCCTAAATGATTCTGCTTCCTAAGCCTTCTTTCCAGTCCCACCCATAACAGAGAGGGCTTTGCTGGAGCTGTTTGGCATAATGATAAACCTTTGCTTTTCATCCCTTTGCAAAAACCTAGCAAGAGATTGCCAGGGCTTGTGATGTGACAGGACTGCGCCTGCATTGCTGAACTCCCACAGCACTTGAAGCTATTTATTCCATTCAAAACAAAACACTTCTTTGACCAGAGCTCTAAAGAAATACACACTTCATAGCAAATGCACAACTGTCAGTTTCTCACTGGCAAGCTACAAATGGCTGCATAAGTGTCCCTTTGGAAGAAAAAACCAGTTCTGTATCTGCAACCATAACTGAGTTGCTTGCAGCGGAAACAGTAAACATTGTGGAGCTATGCCGATTTATGTCCATTGGATAACAATCCCCAAAGCTTCCCCTTTAAAAAATATAACAAATATTTCTGCCTAATATATACCTACCTCAGGAAAGATTTTACTACACCCTTCAAAGTATTTTCCCCCAGGTAAATAAATGCTGCTTCTACCCCCCAAGTGTTGTAGGAGACTCCCACATACCACTCCTTCACACCTAGCCCCAAAGTTGGACTGAAATTTTCTCCTCTAAAACAGTGTGTGCTTTCAGTCCTACAGTGAGCAGTAGCCACTGAGGTGGGCAGAGATGGCTGAAATGGTACAATTCATGGTTGAACTCGTTGAAGTAGTACAAGTATCTTACTGCCCGTATTTTGTTTTTAACACTCAGTCCATGCAACAAAACCTCCTGGGGGGTTCAGTTGGCTCTGCACTGAAACTGAAGGTGGTGTATGGACAGTTATTCATTGGGATGGAAAGTACTACATAAACACAACTTGGTGAAAGAGACCAGTTATGGGGCATAATCTGAAGTGTAGAGACAGGATCAATACTCAAATGATGGTTGATACCAAGGTCTTCAGACAGCTGACTGAAGAGCCAGACAGAAAAACATCCTTAAGAGAGGCACAATGTTTTTTTCCAAAACTTGCTACCACAGGTGTAAGAGCACCTGTATGAGGTGCTCTTGGAAGACCAGAAGCTTGGAAGACCAGCTCCAGGTCTGACCACTTCTCTTAGCCTAAGTGTTTCACCTCCGCATCATGAATTGTGTTTGGATGCAAAAGATGGAAGCCGCATGTTAAACTTGCAAGGCAGCATTCATTACTGCCAGATGCATTATTAATCCTGCTTAAACTGGCAGTCTTCTGTAGTGGGCGTTGTGCCACCCCCACAGAGATGCTGGTGCATATGTCCTAGTTGTAATAGGTTACAGTTAAGATGTGAAAGAGGGACAAAAGAGCAAAAGTGCATACATAGATGGAGAACAGTGAAGTCCCTTGCCCAAGGACAGAAGGCAGCTCTCTATGAGCCAGACACTGATCCTAGGTCCCTCAGTTCTAAATATAGCCCAGTAACCACTAGACCACATTGCTGATTCTTATTAAGAAAATTATATTTTTACTTTTCATCAGCATTTCATAAGCAGGGGGACATAAACAAACCAAAGTGTCTGCTTTTACAGATATTGCTTGTAGCAGCATTAATGCAAATGCATTTCTTTCAACATTTCCAAAACCTTTATTTTTTACAAGTGCTCTTACAAAACAAATAATAACACTCTCTTTCATGTTTTTGAGACAGGAATAAAGAGGCTTGTAAATACTGGCAATATAGTTGTTTTTTTTCCCAATACATTTTTTTTTATAGATACCATTAAGGAATTTACCCACTTTTTTGTTGCTGGCATTTTTCAGTAGTTATTCATACCCATATATATTGACTGTAACCGTTAATGCATCTGGTCACTTTCAAAAGCTAAGGATGACTGAAAGAATTTTGTGTAGCTTTTTGTTTTTAAGCACAATCCATCAAATCCCAAGGAATGTGCTCACATAAAAGATGGTTTGGGGGTCAGGTTTAGAAATAATGTTGGTGTTATGACATACATTCCCATGAAATGAATATGCAAAGTTGTACTCTATATAATACTTAGTGATTTTGGTTCATCTGAGATCATCTGCTATTTGTATAAATAAGACATTCTGAATTTGAAAATGACTAAAAAATAAGGTTAGAACAGAATTCTGGAAGTTAGGATATGTTTTCTCTGTTTCAGAGTTGGACCTTTGCAAAAGCAGCCACAGAGTTTCACGCAATCTCAATGTGAAATCACATGTCCCTCCCAAGAATCCAGGCAAACTTGAAATCTGACCTATGCCTGCCTAAATTCAACAGTTTTGAGGGTCCAGGACAAGCATGGTTTGGATTGTGAGCCTAATACAAAATCTGAAACGAGGAGATTTGCTTATGTGTGATTGTCATTCTGACATTCAAGTCAGAAATAACTGCAGTTATGTCTGGAGACTTTCTGAATCTCAATACCAAACCTCCATTTTTCTTCCCTTTGCCTTCCAAAAATCTTAAAACACAGCCAGAAAAAGCTTATACCTCCCTGAGTAAGACTGTAAGTACCATCCTGCTGACCTGCATACAACTTCTTTTAAAATTTGGAAAAAGTTTGGAACCATGCTTCTGGTTCATAACTGCTATTATTAATGGTAAAAGTAAGGATATTTTTCTCTTGTTATGAATAGGAATAAAAAATAAGAAGGAAACCATAAGCAAATCAGATTTTTATTTTTTTTTACACCTTTGTTACTTCAGAAGCTCTCAAATAATCTCTCCAACATTAAGGTAGGAATGCCAGGACAGTAAAGGAAATATATGCATTTTTAGCTTCCTAAAGAGATTTCACAGCACTTTAACTATAAAAAAAGAATTATGTTTATATCTGTAATGTTAAGGCTCATGGTTCTTATTCAGTCTTACCAAATTGGCTTTTTGAGTTAGGTTAAGAACAGCAATAGTTAGCCAATAAATCTGCTATCTTTATAATAGCTTTTTCTTTAAATCCCAGAGCCTCCTATGACAGAAACATGAGGAAAAAAGGATACAAAGAACTCCCAAATCCACTTACAGTTATTTTCAACTTGCTCTAAAGTCAGTGGAAAGCCCTTGATGACCTCACTAGACCTCTACCAGGTGGCCAGAACATCATTGCTAGGATCATTATCCATGACTCTGACCACCAGTTTTGCCCCCAGAGCAAAACCTGTTGCATGTGCACCTCTTAAGCCATCGCATGGACTTTTGCATGTGCCAGCACAGGAATCTTGGCCACCCTCAATATCCCCCAGCACTTGTCCCAAACATGCCTGGGAGTCAGAGGCATTTGTAACTATAGCGGTGACTATAATGTTTTGCTCTCATAGGAATGGTTTAAAAAGCTGGCCCGCTGGTATTTCACTGTTGTTAAAAATAGAGTTCTGAGGAATTTGTCTTTGAGGAAAAAAAAAGCATGCTGAATAAATAATTGCACAAACCTTGCAAACATATGAGGGGGCAAATAGTTCTGGGGGCCCTTTAACTTGATTCTGGGGCTGAGATTCTCAGCACAACACTGATAAAGTACCTTCTTGGAAAAAAGACAATATTTAGGCTTTTCAGGGAATTTCTGATGACGGTGGAAAGAATGAATCCTTTAATTGCTTTGCATTGCATCCCCTAATGGCTCTGCATTGCATTTCTATAAATTGTTTCAGCTAATGGCGAGTTTGTGAAGTTTCTAACAAATTTGTAATGAATAGCACCAGTAACAGAATAATAAACTTGCCCTTGGTGCCATTTGGAAGAAATTAATGCTTAGTGATTCCTGGTGACATGAGATGCTACTGATGGAAGATTTATGGTTTGCGGCAAAACAGCGCCATGCTGTGTAAAAGACCGAAGCAGCTGGCTTCACCACCAGTTTTTAAATGTCCACTATGATTCAGGATGGAAAGTACAAGTATGGTAAATGAAAACGAGGCCCCAAAGGGAGACAAGTGTAAGTCTAATGCAAATGTGACTGAAAGAATGGCATGTTGCAAATCTGAATGTTTACAGAGAGATCTGTGGGCAAAACTTTGATAGAGTAATGAAAAATTAAATACCAACAAAACCAAGTAAGCTTTGATGCTGTTTTATGAGACAGCTTTCCACCATGTATTTTTAGAAACAAGCATTTTTATTCTGGGATAAATGAATTTAGAAAGAGTAACATCTGGGAAGGCACACCATTAATCTTAACTTTTTGTTGAAAGCTTCAAAACAATGAGCAGCTGTCATGGGGAATCTCAATTATAAATAAGGGGTTTTCTGTTTATTTGTTTGTTTTTAGGGGGGCAGCTAAAAGAACAAGCTGACAAATTGGTAGCAGATCACAGCTTTTACCAAAAAGAAAAGAAAGAAATGTTTCTAACAGATTATCAATCAATTATGCTCTTATGATAGACAATGACTGCGGTTATGCAGACAAAAAGCTGGCCTATTTCTTTCCCTTCCAGAAACACACCCATTACACTGACTGCCAGCAATTCAGCCTGGTACCATCCCAATATTTATTTCTTTGTAATATTGATGGGTTTTTCTTGTTCTTTTTTTTTGGAATACCTGGAAGGTGATGACATTTTATTTTACATTTGAAACAACTAAAGTGTAGGGACAAAAAAAAAGAAAAAGTAATTCAGAGTCTCTTTGGAAGAGATTACTCAGTTATTTGGGACAACATTTCCATCTCAGCCATGGCTTGTTCTCACAGTTCCTGGTGCTGCAGGACTGTGGTACTGGGAAGGGTTTTTTGCTGACATGTTTTGGCTGTAGGGCAGCTAATGAGGTGACCTGTTGGTCACTGTTCATTAAACATGTATATATATATACCCCCCCCC